CAGGCCGGCTGATATTATTATCGGCATGAAAACACTCCATTTGGTAGACGACTAACTAAATTTCAATTATTTTAGTTTTCTGTGGGATTGGGCTATTTGAAGACCGCTTCGTCTCACAGACAAGAGGTTTTAGGCGCTTCTTTAGTAGTGCTGATCTATTTAAGTGTTGACGCATGATAAGTGTCTACGGCTCTTATGTGCCAACATCAAAACTTGCCAAAACAAAGACAAAAGCCCGCGATGCGCGCTTCCGACCGCCAAGAAAAGAGTTTTTCATCGATAACACGTGGATGCCTCAAGCTTATGTTTTCCAGTTGAAACATTCATTTTTCTCCCAAATCATTGCTTTTTTTCTTGATTCAAAGCCTTTTTTCTTTCTTCCTAAAAAGTTGGTATCTTTCGCCCTTCCGATACTAAAAACGACATTTCCCGGTTTTAAAGATGTTTTTCTCTAAGGAAGGATTTCTGGGTTGACTTACTGGTTGATGTGTGAAAGGTTAGCCCTGTTTTGTAGAGTATCAGTTTCATATATTTTCTCACATACGGCTGGCATCTGACCAGAGATCAGGCTAGACGACTAATCCTAGTCTAGAAATAAATTCAAGGGCCCATCTAAGCTAATATTTCCTAACTGAATTTCTCCCAAAGGCGACCGAGGAAAAAGCAAATAAATGTAAACTATAAACTTAGGAAAAACTGGCTAAAGTTTGAATGTAGAAAAGACTTGAAATTTGTTGAAAAACTTTAAAAAGTCATGAAACATTTGTCGATAAGTTATGAACGATTTCCCATAAAGTAATTATCATTTTTATACTGTAAGTTAGTAGAGCGAGAAATAACTTTGTACTTTGAACGAATAAAATTTGAACTTTGCTCAACTTTTAAATTAAATTATCTCTCAAACATCGATCACGCAAGAGTTTTAGATTATTACAGTTATTCAATTCATGAATCAACTTGTCTTACCTTGGTAGAAAAGACGTAAGGGAGAGTTGGTTTTGCTTTAGTCCTGTATGAGAAAAGAAATGAATATCTAAAATGACAAGCTAAGCTTGATAATCAAACGCTAAATGATTATACGTTAATGAGGGTCAAGTTATCACTCTAAGATACAGATCTTGAATAGTACAAAGAATCGCTTACTTACATAGAACAAATTGTAGCAATGAAGAAAAATACTTGTTTCAAAAAGTTTCTCATTTTCGAGGATACTCTGTTTTTATCTTACTCGAGTTTGTTCTCTGCTGTGTTGCTTGCTAGAGCCAACTTGTTTAAAGAGGGTTTAACTTCCCAGGGAGTATTTATTAACATACGGTTGCGGTAATTTTAGTATTAATATAGGCCTCGTTGGAGTATCGGAATTTGATACTTAAAATACCGTGACAAGTCGTTGGTGTCGATGTGATTACGATAGAAAACCGATGAACTTCCGATAAGGAACGTAACAAATACCCAGAATATCCTCGAGAATTAGGAGAAGGAAAGACAGACAAAGGGAAGGCAGTTTCTTCCCTATTCCTATACGCAGGCGTAGGCGAGTAGCAGACATAGTGGCAGTTATTTTGGATGTTATAACTGGGCGCGATTCAAAATGACTGGGGCAATTTTAGTGCAAAAAGTATGTAAAACTGCAGCTAGTTTCTCCTCGCAAAACAACGTTTCAGCACTAATTTAAAATTCTGCCACAAATCGTAATTCAAAAGCACTTAAAGTTAGGTTTTACGGAAGAAAAATGAGCTAAAATAAGCGGGGGTGTCGAAACAAAAGGGGTTTTACCAAAATCAAATAAACAAGCTGACTTCGTCATCTGTAAGTTATCTCAACTTTTCCACGCATTCGAACTATCCAAATTTCATTGTCATCTTTCTATTCTTTTTCGCTTAATCATGATTTTATTCAAATTTCGACAACTTAAACAGTCTCGCCTTTATTTTATGAACCATGAAAAATGTCATAGTCAAATCTTGTGGAGTACGAAGTAACGTAATCTCAAAAATCATGACGTAAGATGTGATTTTCGTGACGCTTAGCAACAAGTCAGTCTGAGTGCTTTAGTTCGTTGGTGATATTGAAGCACATGTTTTAGGCCTGAGTAACCAAATTACTCAAAGCCTTAGCTCTAAATAATTGTCCTAAGATCCTAACATTTTGAATTTTCTCTATGTTTTGAAATGATATTAATCTAGGCACTGTCAGAATGTCAACCCTTCAAAAAAAATTCATCAAACCTCCGAAAGCGTTCTAGTATGATTCATTTTCCACTGAAAACAATACAGGTTATCGTAAAAATGAGAACTATTTATTCAAATTGAGCTCACCCAACATTTTCTAAGATATCGATGGTCAAAAGAACAGAAAAGGTGAAGTGAAAGCGGACGGAAAGAAAGATTTAATATGCTTTCAGACGACGAGACTTCGATGCCATTACAATTAGTATACTAATGCAGTCAAGTCAAAATTATGGCGATTCTGTGTGCAAAATATTCAATTAAAAATGCATGTTCTAACAAAATATTTTACATGAGATTCCAAGCAGAGTAATCTTATCTTTAGCTTTTCTTTACTATTATTTATAAATAGTTGCTAGTTGAATTTCCTTAGGGCAATTTTTTTTCTTTTAACTTTTGAGTTACCGATTGGCTTTTCCGGTGCTTTTCGTTCAATGGTATTGCCAAATTAAGTTAAACAAGTTGAATACACCTAAACTAATTAACACGACGTTGTGGAATTCGTTCATTTTTAGGTGTGAGGCGTACATTCGTCTAACTCGAACAGCAAAATGTACAAATATTTGTACAAAAATTATCAATTGTTTTGCCAATTTTTTTATGGTAGAGTGACGACCAAGTGTAAATATGAAAAAGAAATCCATCTTTAATTGGACATAGTCCACTAACCAACTACATGGCTGCTACATTACTACTACATTACTTCCAGTTTGTGCTAGGAATTGAAAACCACTCTCTGACGCGGTCACGCGTTTTGGCAGCACCTATTAGCAATAGAATCTGCAGTAATTTTTAAGTCATGGTTGATCTAAGCCAATTGCCAAATTTTCCAAACGTGGAAAAAAACAACATTACAATTCATTTAATTGGATACAGGAGAAATAAGCTATAAATGAAGAGTTTTCTGATGGCTATATATCTAAACTTTTTAGAATATGAATTGAAATGATCATCTATATTTTTCGAAATCGCGTCAAGGGATCATGAGGTCTTGGCCGGGAATCTCACTTATCTGTACCTAAAAAATTCTCATATATTATCACTCAAAAACGCGTAAAAGCAAAGCCATTTTAATGCAGATATGTTTATTAATGCTGTATTTTTGCCAATCGGTTTTAGGTATTTTTGGTTCTATATACATCGTTTCGTGGTTCATATTGAAGCTGAACGCTTAGTACAACGGATTAGAAATGTTTCCATTTTGTGCCTTCAAGTTTTCATTGAATTTTTGTCGTTCAAAACAGACTATTAACTAAGTATCAATGACATAATCGATGCCACTTGTACGTGGAATAAAATAATAAGAAAAGGATATCCAGCCCTAACCATCTTTTACCACTCACCCAGCCCAATATCAGGCCTGACTCGGCGTGACACAACACCGGTTCGTTTGATAACAGGTCCAGGTATGTCATCAGTGATTGCCTACGTCAAATCCAAACCACACACACACGTGTTTATAACAATAACTCCGGCTGTGAAAATCTTAAGGATGCTAAAAACAACAGTTACGAACTAAAAATTGGTTTAAAATAACGTAATTTTTGACTATGTGGTACACACATGGAGAGGTTTTCGTAAGGTCACAAGAACCCCGGTAGTGACTAATGGGTCGAAACACTCTTAACGGCTAAACGGGACATTGATTGCTTACGTGAAAAATTAAGCGTTTGTCTGTTCCGAAGTTTCTTGCCAAAGGGGATCGGTCCAGCAGGACGGAAATTGTATATATCAACGAGATGAAAGATTTGAGGGATACTATGAAATCTTAGTTGCAAGACGTTCATGGGGTTAGGCCAAAAAAAATTTAAAAACCCGCATGAAAGTTGACCTCATCCGAGAAATCTTAGACTAATAAAATCCTCATAGCAAAAGTTGAATTTGTCTTTCTTTGTTCGCTATAAAATAAAAATCTTGGTAACTTTCTAAATAACGCATTTGTAAACGTAAATTCGATTTAGACAAGTATGCATGCTGCCACTCAAGTTTTGGTAAAAAAAGCATAGTTCATAGAGGGGATCCAGTCCCGTCTAGTAACTATGATAAAAGGTTAACTAAAAAAAAATGTAACTATAATAAAAGGTACACGGTCTCTGCTCTGTAGTTATTTTGTGGAATTTCATTTACAAAAAATATTTTCAGTAGTTGTTTGGTTTGATGTACTTCACGTCCTAAGGGCTGTATGTGCTTGTTTTTGTAACCCTAGGTCAACTAAGAGTGGTGTTTTTTTTATTGAAGACGGAAAGCCTTCAGTAAGACAATACCATGTTTAATACTAGACAAAAGCATCCCTTCCTCCCGGTAAGGCTAAACAACAATGTCGGTCTAACGTCACTACCGCTCGGTATAAAGATTGAATAACAGCCAAACGTTTTTTTCCCTGTGCAGCAAATACCAATATAAAAAATTCTACAACTTTCTGTTGTGACCAATATATCCATTCACTAGTTTATAAACAAGTAAATCTGAATTGATCTAGAACGAGCTAGAATTGTGGGGGAGGTTTTGGAATTTGAGCTCACTTCTTTATTTTTGGAATAGAAAAGAAGAAGTATTGTCAACCGTAACTTGTGTATCAGTTACTCAACTTTGAGCTTTATTTTCTCAGTCGTAAGATTTCTCAAATTCTTGCTGTCCTGTACAGCATTCTCGTCGTGCAGATAGAAAATAATGCACTTGTTGTTCAGTGTGTTGGCCAAAAACCAAAGAAAATAAAACACTGATTTTGCCGCTAAAAAAAGCCAGCATGAACGATTAAGACTACCAAGATCAAACTCTCGGCCGTCTCGTACATGATGTTACCTTTTTTACAATAATTCCCTCCACATGGGATCTCCTTATTATGAAAGAAAAATTAAAGAGCTAGGGGTATTGATATTACCGACTTTTGTTTCCTAGTTTCCTTGGAACTACTTACTGCCGCAAAGCCGCTGTTTTTTTAATTTAAACATATTACCTCTCTGTGTTCTCTCCAAGAGCTAGGCTCATCGTGGGAGATTACTGTTTTTACTAGTAACCACTGGTTCCTGCGCTCTAGGGTATTGGAAATTACAAGCGAACCGTTCAAACGTCGGTAGAGAAAAGTTAATGTAAAGCGGCATGATAGAGGATGTTTTCCTTTTTTGCCGATTTATTTACTTCGATTATTCGTAAACAATGTTTCCCGTAATCAATTCAAGAAAAAACCTTATCAGTGATTTTAGGGCGCTCTTACGCGATTAACTTTTTAGCTGGAATTTTGATGTAACAAAGTTGCGAGACAAATTTCACCGCAACGTGTAACATGTAGCTAATTGCTTGTTTTTTGTTTCTTTGTTTTAATTCCGAAAATACAAGGTGCTCTATAAAAATCTAATGCGTTTACCACTCCTGGGTGGATGGCTTAATGCCTAACAGGCCTTGCGACCCAATTGATAAGGCAGCCGATAGATCGAATTGATAATTTAGAAGTTGAAAGTATCTAGTCAAGAAAATTTCCCAAGATAAGAATGTTTTACTATACTATCAGGTTTTATAGCACAGCGGCCGGTTCGAACGAAGAGCACTAGTGCTAGTTTGTAAGACTGCTACGTGCTCAAAAGTCTAACCTAATGGCTCATATTTCCATTGATTTGTTTTTTTGGTTATTTTTCAAGCATTAAATGACGCTAAAACTGAGAAAAACACTGAATAAGTACTGTCAAAGCGTGCGTCACAAGTAAAACTAACATCCGTAAACTTGATGGCAATTGATGCTGGTATTCCTAGGGACACACAGCTTTATTTCCGCTTTTCTCCTGGTACAAACCCAAGTAAACACTGACGAAATTTTCCCCGCCAATTCTTGTGAACCGCCGCGCCTTCATTCCAGTTGCCAATGCACTTGTCGAACTGTGACCAAAAGGAAATAAAGCCAAAAATAAATCAGCTTCCTATCTAATAATACCAATAAACCAAATGGGAGTGCTTTTGGTCCTTTTTACGGAACAGAATTCCAAGGATTCCAGAAAACCATTTAACGGTGAAATATTTGACGAGCATCGGATTAATCTTTTACCGCAGAACAACTTTAGCGTCATG